TCGCATACCTTATCAAAATGTGCGTATCTTTGTTATCCATTTTCCAATCCGCGAACAGAAATAATTAATAACTTATTCTCCTTTATTAATAAATATTAGTACATGTTACACGTAGCATTATCACACAGAGCACTATCACATGTGGCTCTATCACTATTATAGAAATAACACTTTCTATCTTTGTAATATGAATCTGTAATTACAAACATAATCTAACGTGCACGTTTCACTAAAAACGGTTGAAGATATAAAGATCCATACAAATATAAATCTTTAAATCTCGCGGCTATAGGTATAGCGGTGTAGCCTGCCGCACGTTGATATGCAATTGTTTTATATTCTCCACTGTTTCGCAATGATCTCAGCCGACTTCAGTGAAACGTGCACGTTAGATCCTGTGCGTGATTGCAGATCTATATTACAAAGACAGAAAGTGTTACTTCTCTATAATAGTGATAGTGCCACATGTGATAGTGCTCTGTGTAATAGTGCTACGTGTGATAGTGCTACGTGTGATAGTGCTACGTGTAATAGAATTACGTGTACTAGTATTAAAAAAGGAGATTAACTTATTACATTTTTTTATATTTTTATATTTTTGTTCGCGGGGGATAATCTTAATATCAAAAAATGGATAAGAAACAAAGATACATACAACATTTCGATAAGGAATGGGAAAACTTGTTTTTTTTCGCAAACATTAATAATAAAACCACCTGTCTTCTATGTGGTTTTCAACCATCTCTTGTTAAAAAATTTAATCTTGAGAGACATTATAATATTAAACATTTACATAACTATTCCAAATATGTGGATAAGGAGAGATTCGATTTAATCGAAGGATTAAAATTAACTTTTCAAGAAGGTAGTTCGATTTCTGATATCGATAATAAAACCTGTGATGATAACTACATCTTCAGAAAAAGCTTTAACAGCGTCGTATGCTATTTCGAATTTAATTGCTAAACATTCCAAATTGTTTCGAGAAGGTGAATTTATAAAGGAATGCCTTATCACAGCAGTAGAGTCGTTTGGAAATTCATTGACTCATGAAGAAGCTGCTAGCATTCCATTAAGTGACAAGACAATTAAATCAAGAATACATGATATTGCTAATTCTTTAAAAAATAAATTAAAATTTTTGTTAGCGTCGTGTTCTTTCTTTTCATTATGTCTTGATGAGAGCACCGACAATCGACATGTGAGTCAACTGAGCATTTTTGCTCGAATCGTACAAAACGATTTTTCATGTGTCGAGGAGCTCTTAGATTTTGTCCCATTACATGATACAACGACAGGTTTTGATATTTTCAATGCTGTTAATCAAACTCTAGAAAAATTTGATATTTATAATTTCTCTAAATGTTCAGCTATTGTCACTGATGGTGCAAAAGCAATGATAGGTTCGAAAAATGGATTCTTCGGTCAATTAAAGCAGCGAAATTTAAATTTTCCTACCATTCATTGCATTATTCATCAAGAAGCGTTATGTGGGAAAGTTGTGAAATTATCCACCGCTATGCAAATGGTCACAAAAATTGTTAACATAATTAAAGGCGGTCACAAATTCCTTTCTCATAGGAAATTTCAACTCTTTCTCGAAGAGCATGACGCTACTTATAAAGATGTACCTTTATATTGTGCGGTTCGATGGCTTAGTGCAGGAAAATGTTTAGAAAAATTCTTTGCAATAAGAAAAGAAATCTTCCTTTTCTTGCAAGAAATGTCTTCCGAAAAATGCGACGAATTTACATCTTTTTTCGAAGATTCGGACTCACTCTACGAGCTTGCTCTAATAACAGACATTACTAATCATTTGAATACTTTAAATTTAAAACTGCAAAAGACTAATCAAACTATTTCGCAGTTGGTCAGTCATATCGATTCTTTTCGCAGAAAATTATTATTATTCAAAAATCAATTAGAAAGTAATATTCTTCATTTTTTTCCTTCTTGCCAGATTCTATTTGAAGAACACGACACAAATTATGATTTTAAAAAACAAATAAATATAATAGAGTCCTTAATAAATCAATTTGATTAGCGTTTCAATGATTTCGAAACGCTAAGAAAAGATTTAATACTATTTGAAAATCCTCTCACTGCGCAAATCGAGGAACAAAGCCTAGAATTTCAGGCAGAACTTTGTGATTTGCAATGTGATCTTTCTTTGAAAACACGGTCAGAAAAAGGGGTTGAATTTTTCAAAATTTTAGATGCATCGTGTTATCCACGTCTGAGAAATTTTGGTCTTAGAATTTTTTCCATGTTTGGATCCACATATTTATGCGAATGCTCCTTCTCAAAAATGAATTTTATAAAAACAGATAAACGTTCTTCTTTGAACGATGTATCACTGTCCTCGTTGATGCGAACTAGTTCGTCTAAAATTTCTGTTGATATACCATCTTTAGTAAAATCATGTAAACGACCCAGAAAATCAAATTAGAATTTTAAAATTGTCTTTCATTCTTCCGCCTTACTAATTCTTTTTATTATGTCGTTATACAAAATTTTATTTTCCTGCCAAGCCATACTTATTGTCTTTATTCTTCATTTTGTGGACTAGGCCTCCTGGGGAAACCACTTATCAAAAACGCATCAATAATAGTACCTCACGGGTGATGTGGAAAACTATTCTTAAAAATTATTATATTGTAAATCTCATGAAAATCTATTATTATAACAATTTAAACAATTGTTATAACACATTTGATGTATGAAGTAAAAAATTTAATATTTTTAAAAATTATTTAACAAAGAAGATATTTTAATTATAGAGTAGCGGAAAGTATAATTTGGGCGATTTTTTTAAATGAAACGCTCCTGATCGGCGGCTCGGCCGTCGAGTCTCGAGCGGTAGTGGGAGGCCGGTAGGCGTCGCCTTCGAGAACGAGCCGAAAAGAGCAACTAATT